GAAAGAGAGAGAAACATCAGTGATGAGAGAGAATCATTGATTAGCTACCTCCTGCACTCCCCCTACTGGGGATCGAACCTGCAACCCAGCATGTGTCCTTGACCCTGGGACTCTTCAGTTCACAAGCTGACGCTCTTATCACTGAGCCAAACCAGCTAGGGTGACAATAGCTTTTTAAAAAGAGAATCCTGGTCATTCTAGAGCAGTGGTTCTCAACCTTCTGGCCCTTTAAATGCAGTTCCTCATGTTGTGACCCCAACCATAAAATTATTTTCGTTGCTATTTCATAACTAATTTTGTTACTGTTATGAATTGTAATGTAAATATCTGATATGCAGGATGGTCTTAGGCGACCCCTGTGAAAGGGTCGTTCGACCGCCAAAGGGGTTGCGACGCACAGGTTGAGAACCACTGTTCTAGAGTGTATAGATTTAACAATCAGTGCTTTCTCCTTACACCAAGTTTAAGTACTTCTTATTGACTACTTACTTATAAATCATGCCTGATTAGTTCTAAAAAGGCATTGGTGCACAAAATTAAACTTTTAATTCAGGCTTTAATAGGCTGCCCAGGAAAACTCACCCAAGTGAGTAGTATATACATAAATGACAGAAAACTCATCTTGAGAGCTTAGTAGTATTTAAATGACATGAGCAGTGAATGCTAAAGAAGCTGGTAGGTCTTGTTTTAAGATATCAAGTTGTTGTGAAAATAATGTCTTAAAGTACACGTTTTGAGATTATGGACAATGTGGTCAGGATGTCAAAACTGTGTCACCAAAGAACATGTTACTGTCAAAGTTCATTTACCCTTGCTCTTTTGAAAAATAACAGCTTTACGTTTTTATCCCCAGTGGGAGAGAGAGCAACATTCCACATCCCGACAACTGAGAAAACAAATATTAAATTCCTAAATGACTTCAAATGTTGAACTCTGGAATCCTGCTGGATTTTCTGTATTTAAAAGGAGAAATAATCCATTGCTCTAACCGTGTTTTCTGTGGGTCAATGCTGGTCCACAAATGGTTGTTACTGGTCTGTGATAGAGGAACGAAGCTGAGAGTGGACACCTACTCTTGTGATATTGCCACAACATTATTACTGTATTTTATAAAAGTAATGACCCACAACAAATTAGACATTTAAAAAAGTTTCATAACACTACAAATGTTTGAGAAGCAGTTGAGCGTGCAAGGTAGGGGTGGGGATGGGGGACTGACAGATGTCAAGCATCTGCTTCAGTCCTGTGGTTTTTATGAGGAGAACTGTCTCCACGAATCAGGGTCCCCACTCCTAGCCCAGTGTTTTGTGCTATGTCATTTTATTTCTTAAAGGTTCTATGTGGTAGAAATGTTCTCTGTTATACTAACTCCACTCTAGCCTTCCCTGGGAGAAAAATAATCATTATATTTGTTTTCTTTATCATAATTTTCCTAAAAAGTTAATTGTATTATATACTTCCTACAGATAATTTACAACCTTCTCTGAAGACTTCCAAGATATTAGAACACTTAAAAGAAGACAGCTCAGAAGCTTCAAGTCAAGAAGAAGGTAAATGTCAATTCACTGGAATAAGTCCTTATTCCTGGTTTTAGAACAGGGATAGACAAACAGACCATTAGAACAGGTTAAGGAGCTGAGAAACAGACATATGGAAACTTGGAATGTGACAGGTAGCATTACAAATAAGTAGG